AAACTACAGAACAACCATCATTCAGAACTGCCTGAAATCTAGCGAAACAGAAGTCTTATTACTAAGGATATATATAGAAGAAGCCATGTCAAGACTAGTAGGAAGGGTCCTGGCCAGGTAGCTCAGTTGGTTAGAGCACCATCTTGATACACCAACATTGTGGGTTCAGGGCACATAAAAGATTCAACCAATGAATGCATAAATAAGTGGAACATCAAATTGATGTTTCTCTTTCTCTCACTCTCTCACCCTCTTCCTCTCTAAAATAAGCAACTGAAAAAATTAAAAGAAAAAGAAAAGACTTGTAGGAGGTGGGGAGACGCGAAACAGGCTGGTCCCACACCAACATGTGGCTGCANCCCACGTGTGGCAGATAAAAATTGATAGGGAGGAATATCTCAGCTGCAGAGGTCCCCCCTGAGGAGTGAGGTATCCCAGGCCCACACCAGGCTCCCAGCCCAGGGTTCCAGTGCTGAAAAGTTCCCATAACTTCTGGCTGTAAAAATCAGCAGGCACTGAAGGTGAGCGAGACAAAGCCTGCTGGAGTCCCAGGCGTTCCTCTTAAAGGGCTCATACATGAACTCGCTGTGTGCTCCAGACCTGGGGCAGCAGCACTAAAGGCACCAGGGACATACAGAGAGGAACTGAATTATCTGGCATCAGGGTGAAGGCTAGAGGGGCACCTTCATCCTAGACAAAAGTGCTGGCAGAGGCTACTGTTCCTTTGCTGAGCCTTGCCCCCACAGTTGGCAGGCGGGCACCATATCTGAGTCTCTGTGGATCTGGCTCAACTGTTTGCCCCAACATGGTGATTCTGAGACTTCACCCCACCCAACTTGCAGACCCACCCAAGCCCTTTCCAGTGACTTATTCATACAAATGACCTGTCCTGGCTCACGCTGCAGATTTTCCTAAAATCTCTCAAACCTTAAATAAGCAGCATCTGGCTGAGACGTGCCCCATACCTCTTGCTAAGGGGCCCCAGGCCTGGCACTAGTGGCAGGCAGCCTGTTTGCAGCTTGGTCTCTCCTGGACACTTCTAAGCCCGGCACAAGTAGCAGCCATCTGCAGATTGCTCTGTAGCTCATGATGGGTGGCCCCAAACAGAACACAGGGGGAAGCTGATCTTGGCTTGCACTTCTCAGGGGGCCCCAGAGCCAGCACACCTGGTGGACAGCTTCAGGCCACACCAGAACACCATCCAACTACCTCTACCAACAACACACTCAAGGGGTGGGCACACTCAGGAAGTGGACTTGTTAGGCATCAGAACCCTGCTGAAGCAAGTCCAGCTCTGTGGTCTAGGCCCCTGCACAGCAGCACATCAACCTGGGGGTAAATCCTTCCCATTTACATGCCAACAGCAATCAAGGCTCAACTACAACAGAAGTGTGCACACAGCTCACATGGGAGGCACATCTGGCATGCCCAGCTCAAGTGACTGTAGAGGCTGCACCACTGGGCCCTACAGGACACCTACTACAAACAGCTACTCTATCAAGACTGGGAGATGTAGCAGCTGTACCTAATACATAGAAACAAACACCGAGAAGCAGTCAAAATGAAGAGACAAAGAAATATGTCTCAAATGACAGTTCAGAACAAAATTCCAGAAAAAGAACTAAATAAAATGGAAACGCGCAATCTACCAGATTCAGAGTTCAAGACACTGGTTTTAAGGATGCTCAATGAACTTAGGGGAAGAGTAGGTGAACTTAGTGATACCTTAAACAAAGATATAGGAAACATAAAAATGGAGATAAAATACTTCATAAGAACGAACCAGTCAGAATACAGAAGTGAGAATACATTACAGGGAATCAACAGTAGAGTAAAGGAAGCAGAGGATTAAACCAGCGTTTTGAAAGATAAGCAAGTCAAAAGCACCCAATCAGAACAGCAAAAAGAAAAAGGAAAAGAAAAAAAATGAGGATAGTCTAAGGAGCCTCTGGACTAACACTCACATCATAGGGGTAACAGAAGGAGAAGAGAATGAGCAAGGAATTGAAAATCTATTTGGAAAAATGGCATAAAAACTTCCCTAACCTGGTGAAGGAAACAGACAAACAAGTCCAGGAAGCGCAGAGTCCCAAACAAGATAAACCCAAAGTGACCCACACCACGAGACACCATAAGTAAAATACCAAAGGTTAAAGACAAAGAAAGAATCTTAAAAGTAGTAAGAGAAAAGCAGCTAATTACCTACAAGGGAGCTCCCATAAGACCATCAGCTGATTTCTCAACAGAAACTTTGCAGGCCAAAAGGAATTGAGACAAAATATTCAAAGTGATAAAAAGCAAGGACCTATAACCAAGATTACTATACCTAGGAAAGCTATCATTTAGAATAGGACAGAAAAAGAGTTTCCCTGACAAGAAAAAGTTAAAGGAGTTCATCGCTACCAAATCAGTATTACAAGAATTGTTAAATGGTCTTCTTAAGAAGAGGGG